CATTGACACGGGGTCCACAGCAGACACGTCACTTGACACGCACTCAGGGTGTGTTTAATACGGGGTCCAGAGCCGGAACAGACACGTCACTTGACGCACCACTCAGGGTGTGTTTAATACGGGGTCTACAGCAAGGAAGACACGTCACTTGACATACCTCAGGGTGTGTTTAATACGGGGTCTAGAAGACAGGCACTCGCAGCCTTACGCAGCCAGCACGCAACACTCCCAACCAGTATAGGGGAGACCCTGCCCAGATACTCAGGGCAACCACCATCCGAGACTTCCGCATAGGTCTCAGTACACCACAATCACCCGCACACCACCACACAAGCAGTTATTCAAGGATCATAGCCCGCCCGGCTTAGTCACGAACTCGGCGAAGCCACTGTTGGAAAAGCAGGAAACCCCACACGCTTTGCGGCAGCATCAGGGAATCAACATCGCCCAACCCCTCACCCCTTTTCACCTATCAATCATCCGATTCCCGGATAGCATACGACACCGCGCCGCGGGTCGTCTTCGTCCATGCCCTTCGGCCGCGCGCTATGATTGCTGCCCTTGCATAGCTTAGCGTCGTGCAAGTCCGCCGATGACCCCATCTGCAAGCCCGTATTCAACAACACGCAGAGGTGTGCGCTGCGCGCCTTGACCCCATCTCCGCCTTCATGAGTGCACCACGTATGTCCCCAGCGTCACACATAACCTCCCCGGTGTTCCGCGGCCGACAAGAGGCCACCGCTCTACGATGATGCGGAACCCGGCGATGCCGCCAGCACGACGGGAGACTGGGCCGCACCGGGGTACATGCGATCAGTCAATGTCGGCATCGTCTGCGCTGGAAAGAATAATACCAGATTCGATTGTCGCTGCTTGCATGAGCAGACTCGGAGATCGACGTCGCGATCAGGACACCTGTATCACGAGCGGTGTCAGCGCGCTTTTAGGTGTGGGGACGTTCACTCGAGATGTACCATCGTTGAGAGCGGGCAGCGTACCTCGCAGAGCGAGGACACAGGGTCTTCAGCATCATCGCTTTCACCACGCAAGTAGTACATCCATGCACCGACCACTTATGCGCCGCGTGCTCTGTCACTCGCTTTCTCCGATGCCGCTCAGTGCAGCGCTGATTCGTTGCTTCTACGCTTCCACTCCACCGCAGGAACGACCGACGCCCCTCACGTACCCGAACACAGTCCGAGTATGGCGTGTCTGTGCCTGCATAGGAAGGACCATGGCGCAGAGGACAAACGAGAAGTGATATTAGGAACGAACACGCGGACCTCCCCATGCGGCAGGGTTGCACAGACTACAGCGGTCGCTGTCTGTGGTCTACCGACAACCCGAGACCGCAACCCAGCACTCCAACCCCAAACACTGTGCGACGCAAGCACTGCCATGCATCTCAGCAGAACATGGATCTGGCACGGCCGGATCCCGCCCCATGCGCGTCGCGCCAACAGCTAGCCCTTCGTGCTCGTCTACGTGCTCGTCTACCCGACCGCGCCCCCGCGCGGGCGTTCACATGTACCTGGAAGCCTGCTTTGGCACCAGTAGTTGCCACCATAATATTATAATAGCCCATGTAGCTGGTGCAAAGTCTGTGTATTCTGTGACCACCCATTATCTTTGTCAATTCCCCTGGTGTACTATTATATTATCGCCCCCAGAGCCTGTTAATTATTGTATTTGAGCCCAGGAGCCCCTAGCCTGGCCTGTCAATTATTGTATTTCAGTACAGAGGCCCCTGCTCTAGCCTGTCTATTATTGTATTTGAGCCCAGGAACCCCTGCTCTAGCCTGTTAATTATTGTATTTGAGCCTGGAAGCCCCTAGCCTGGCCTGTCAATTATTGTATTTCAGTACAGAGGCCCCTAGCCTGGCCTGTCAATTATTGTCTTTGAGCCCAGGAGCCCCTGCTCTAGCCTGTTAATTACTGTACATCAATGTGGAAGCTCCTGCAGTAGCCTGTCAGTGAGCCTGGTGCACAGATTGTACAATGTCATGGCCTGCCATATCGGGCACTGGCAGATTGACTGCGCAGCCACTCCGGCGCTTGTCCGATTGCTAAATCGGGCATTCCTACTCGACGCCCGCCCTAATTACCAAATTCGGAAGCGCTACTGAACGCCGGTTCGCGGCACCAATACGGCCGCGCTTATGCCGCGCGCGCGCGCGCAATGACAGCTCGCTTGATTAGCTTTGCACCGCCGCGACTCCATAGGCGACTCCATAGGCGCCTGGTTCGAGACCCCCGCACACCATTCATTTCCGTCGACGCAAACACAACATGGAAACCACACAATGATATTGAATCACCCTTGTACAAAGCTAGAACTAGGTCTGGACAGTCGAGCAAAGCTACCCCAGACGCGGCCGCTTGCTGGGGCGCTCGTGATCCATCTCGCTGCCCTCGCTCTCCTTCTGACGGCTGCGAATGCGAACATACGGCGTTATGGTCTTGCATACCCAGCTAACGTCCTCGATGGCCGCGAAGACTTCTGTGCTGTCCTCGTTCTCGTTCAGAGTCGCCCACAGCCACCAAGCCAGGGTCAGTACGACAAGGAATAGGCCGTTACAGCCGCCTCTAGCCACGACGTCCCAGTCGGAGGGATCAACGGGCTCACTTCGAGGCAGCGGCCAGGCCTCGTCGCTCGTGCGCGAGGAGGGCTGGAGGGAGATCCACCACCTCTTCCACGACACGGAGAATTGCTTCGGGGACTTGATCTTAGGGAGCTTCTCGTAGAGGCGGTGGTTCTTCATCCATAGCTTTACCTCCTCAGGGCGGAATTCCACCGCGAGGCGATTGCTAGTGTCCTTTGAGTAACGAATCAGCATTTATACCTGACACAGAAAACGCTGATACTCACCTGTCCATTGGGATAGCGAAGGGACTTCTCAAACTCCAGCCAAGAGTCTACCAGGCCCTTCCAGCGCTGGCCGCCTTCAATGAGCGCGAAGTAGCGCATCGCGTCTGTGACCCACTCCGGGATGGCAGTGGGGGTGTCGTCGTTGCTGTTCCCCGAGAGCGATGGACTCCCGGGAGAGGGCTCCGGCTCGGACTCAGAGCGAGTCGTCGTGGTCGCTGCACCCGAAGGCGTGGCGGAGCTCGAAGGCGGCGGGTTGCCCGTGACAGTCGTTGCCGCCGCCATTGCAGTGCTTGAAGGCGAGGTCGAGGTGGATGTCATGGCCGTCGTGGGTGTCGTACCGGCGGGAGTAGGTACACTAGATGAAGGGGTGCTCGACGGCTGAGTGGGGACAGCCGGAGTTAAGGGGGTAGCCTGAGTCGTTTCGTTGACCAAGCGGGAGCTTTCGTTCGCGGACAGTTCCGCAGTGCCCGACTCGTGGGCCGGCGTTGACGACGGGTCTGTGGAAGGAGAGGCATCCGTGGGTGGGCGAGGCGTCTGGGTGGGCGTGCCGTCAAGCTCGACGTGAGCGGTCTTCGTCTGAGCACTGCTCGAACACGTCGTGGGAGCGGCGTTCTGGCCACGCTTCTCCCGCTTCTGACGTGTTGTCGTGTCGCTCGCCTTCTCCTTGCCTTTCTCCTTGCCTTTGCCTTTCTTCTGGGGCTTGATCTTGGCCGCCGCCTCTCCCAAGCCCAAGGACGCGAAGAGCGCCTGGTTCCGTGCAATGTTGGCTTCCCAAAGTGCTTCGTAATCGACCGTCTCGGCGGCGTTGGCGGTCGCCTTGTTGGGAGGAGTATGGTTGGGTGCAGAGGAGCCGGGCGCATCGGGCGCGGGGGTCGGCGTCGAGGAGGTCGCACCTTCCGGCGTGGAGTCGTCCTTGGAGGCCTCCAGCCCTTCCCGGTACGCGGCCATCAGCCTGGTGGCTACGTCCGCAGCTAACAGTGCCATGAAAATCGTCAGCGGCCTTGTACCATATGGCAGAAAAACGAACGACGTACAATAGCAACTGACGACGAATTTGCTGAACGCCTGCTGTAAGTCATCCCACTGCGGAGTGGCGTTGGGAAGTTGCTTCCCAAGGTTGACCGTTTTGCCTTGATGAAGACTGGTAGAGTGTTAGGAAAGCGAATAGGCCTCACGACAACGACTGCGACTTACGAAAGGACCGCGAATTCGCCCGTATCTGGACGTGGCCCTCCGGTAAGGACAGTCGTTTTCCAGCCGATTTGCTCTTCAATCCTCACGGCTATGCCTTGCAGCGCTTTCAGAAGTAAGTCAATCATCCTGCAAAAGTGTCAGAACGAGCGACGCGCGGGCAGTAGCCAACCACGAGACTCACTCCTGGATGTTTCTAGCCGAGATCGCCAAATCTAGAGGGTCAAGGATGGTCTTGTCGTCGTCCGCGTCGTCGAAGAACGGATCCAGGCCGGCCGTGGCGGGCACCTTGTCCTGGAACTCCTTGACTTCCTTCTTCACCTCCTCCGTTTTGTCGTCCAGCATCTCCTTCGCGCGTGCGCACGCGAACTTCCACCACGCGTCCGGTGCCGCCATACCACCTGACTCGCCGTCGTCCTCGGAGTCGTCATTGTCGTCGCGGTCGCCACCACATTGGTCTTCAGCGTACTTGACCAAGTAGCTTTTGTAGTCCACGCGAATCTTCGGCATGATGCGAGCCTTGTGGAGTTTCATGTACGCTTGATACGGCTGCAGACGAGTCGGCTTCTTGGGCACGAGGTCAAGTGTCATGCCGCGCCGACCCTTCTTCTTCTTGAGGAGCTTCCCTTGTCGACGATTCCAGAACCAAGTGCCCAGTTGCTAGTAGCAAGGCTCAGTAAGTATCAAATTCATGTTGACAATTGGGAACAGGGCGTTGTGCTCACCACTTGTCTCTGCTCCTTAGATATTACATGCCCGTTCCTATCCAGCATCGACTCGCGGTACTTCTTTGTGACCGGGTCTTTCCAGAACATGTCGAAGTACTCCTGCTCAACGCGGCTCAGGAAGTTCTTCGTCCTCTCCTTGGTTTGCGCTGCATGGAACTCCGGAACTTGCTCTTCCAGCCAGTTGAGTTGGTCGTCGGGCGCCCATGGAAGACGGCCCATGGTGAGGTTAACGATGCAGCCGGCGGGAAATGGGACAAGACGAAGGGCCACGCAACCGCCCCGTTATTTTACTATGCAGCGCCGCGTCCTCTCGGGTGCCGGACACGCGATTGCCCGATACGACGCTAGTTCAACGTGCGGTGCGTATCTCATTGGCTCCCGTACGTTTCGGCCTAAAGGTGCGGGACTACATATACCCCCGATCGCGCGATCAGACCCCAGGTCCTCCCCTCTCCACTACCACCACACTGCGCTGCAGGACTCAAGCAGGACGCCCCCGCGTCGCAACCAGGTATGATCTGAACCCGTCCACCGTTGCGCACCCGCTGATTATCATGACAGGCTTAATGCGAACCCCTGCAACAGAACCCGCCCCCGTCGGGGACGACACTCTCCCCGACCTCTCGCAGCTCGCCATCTCGCCGTCTGTGAGCTCGTCGGTCCTATTCGGGGATGAAGATAACGACTTCCTCCCCGTCTCGCCTCGCCCTCCGCTATCGCCCCTCCCCGACACCCTTCTGCCGCACCCGGTGTTCACACAGGGGCTCCGCCCTGGTGGCGAATTGACCCCCGCCCGTGGGGTGACGGTGAACATTACGGTTCACGCCGCCCATGCGAGCGTCGCAGTGAATACGGCGACGCGCACCGGCGAGGTGCGCACCCCGCGATACCGTCGTCGTACCGCCGTCGCTCGGACGCCCACTGGCACGTCAACAACCTCGGGTTCGGGTGTGCATGCTCAACCCACCCCGCCCGTCACGACTACGAAGACTCAAGAGTATACTCTGCGCGGCGGTGGCAAAGTCATCGCGTGGAATCCAGCTCGTGAGTACCGATATTTTCTCTCACCTACACCCACTAATCTTCGCGGTAGTCGAGCATATCGAGCCATGCGACGCGCGTCATAGTCGCAGGTGGTACATCGTCACGGCGGGGCTGCGCGTCGGGATTTGGAAGTCCTGGCTGGCTATGGAGGATTATATAGACGTCCCGGGAAAGTGTTACCAGTCTTATGAGCACCGCGACGAGGCCGAGAAGGACTACTACGAAGCCAAGCGAGACGGTCGTGTTCGCCTGCTCATTAAGTAGTCGATCGAATTTATGGCTGTCCCACTATGGCCGAGTTTCTTCATGTAGCCTGCGCTAGTATATATTGATTGCTATATCATGGTCCTTGCCTCGATTGCATTCCAAAAAGGCGAGGATACTCGAAAGGCGGCGGCGGTAAGTGCGTAAGTGCACTCAGTCTGGCAGTAGTAGAATGGTCTTGTTTGTTGGTACGAAACCTCGAGTTATGCGGCTATGAGCAGCCTAGTACATGAGCACCTGAGACTTGTATTTGCCGACTCAAGTCCTAAAGCACAAACAGATGTCGCGGGCACGCCGGGTACTATACGAGTCAGGCTTGAGTCGACCTTGATGTCCTAGTAATAAATATCAATGGCGGCGAACTTGTTTTGTGCCATCGCGCAGGACCGACAATCATTTTTGAGATTGCATGCACAGAAGTTGCTTCGAGGCTGTCTAATTGTATCCTGCTAATGTTCACCGTAGTTCCCATTGCTTGAGAATGTTGTTGAGCGAGGCGACAGCACGTGGTGCGCGAATTCGAATTGTTGGCAGTAATCTGGTCTTCGAGTCCGGACTGTATTCTCGCGCCGCCGCCGCCACCCCAGTGAGCCTCAAAACTTGTAACACTGCAGCAGAAATATTTAGAGCGAGATGCTAACGCAATATATAAGAGATAGAGAAACGTCCAAGAGATGTACTATATATACAATGACAACATTGCGTAGAGCTGGGTGCTAGATGTCGGTGAGGCAGGCAGCTGGAATGCGCGAACACTGAATGCAGGTGTAAAGTAGCGCCGCTGCGCGTCTGCGATGCTGCCGAACTCTTGCTTTCCCCAACCACCTCACACACCTCATCCAGGCTTTACGCACCATGCAAGGCAACAAAAAACGAGTCGGTTCCCATACTGGATCGTCTAAAAAGTCCTCGAAGAAGATTCATTTTCAGACGATTGAACATTCTACGGCACCTTCAGCAGCAGCCGAGTCCAGTACTACGTGCGAAGTCCCGGTCCATAACTTCGTCTACCAAGCATCAGGGCATGGTAGACTCAATCACAAAACAACCCACCACCTAGTAGCTCCTCATCCCGCAGAGGGCATATTTTCTAAACTCCCGGCGCGCGGCGCAGACAACATGGACCCAGTGAGCCTGCTGGAAGTGTTTCCGATGGAGGAAGACTCTCAGTCCGCCGAACAGCTCGCACAGGACTCAGATGCTGCCAATAAGAAGAAGCGTGTTCGCAGCGATTTGAAGGCGGCGGTAAGAGCTCATATATATAACTCAGTTCTCTCTGATTCTGGGATTGTTTAGAGTAAGGTCCAAGAGTGGCTACCATTCAGAAGCGAGTTCCTCGACGAGCTCCTTCTCTTTGAAGGCTGCGAGGACTCTGTGGAAGATGGGGCGGTATTTTGTACTGCTTGCCAATCGCCCGGGGCCACGCTGCGATGTACAGACTGCTTCACACGCGATCTGCTATATTGCAAAGACTGCATCGTCCAACGGCATGAGGCAGATCTCCCTCTGCACCGGATCGAGGTAAGCCCATTTCTAATTTACTCATAGTTGAAGCGGTGCAGGGAAACAAAGAGCTAATACCCGTATAGGAGTGGGAGGGCGAGCATTTCGTTCGGAGGACGCTACGTGATCTTGGTGCGGTCGTTCAGCTGGGCCACAAGGACCATGTGTGTAAGGCGCCATCTGAAGATACCCGTCGCGTCGTGGTCGCCGATGTCAAGGGCGTACAAGCGGTCGAAGTGCGGTTCTGCGAATGCTTCGACACAAGCGGTGATTTCATACGAGAATGGACACAGCTTCTCCGCCGGGGATGGTTTCCTGCAACCACCAATCGCCCCGCTACCGCGTTCACATTCCAGCTGCTCGACACATTTCAGGAGCTCAACTTCCAAGGCAAGACAAATCTGTACGATTTCTGGAAGACTATAGAACGTTTGACCGACAACTCCGGCGCGCACACATTTGTAAGCTCTCCGTTTGGATCGTGTACGTATGGCTAACGTCCGCATTAGAATCGCTACCAGCAAATGTCACACGTCGTACGTTTATGGCGTCATCTTACGATGCTCAAGCGATTCGGTCGAGGTCATGACCCAGACGGGCCGGACAAAACCAAAGTAGGCGATTTGGCACTCGAATGCGCGGCATGTCCGCATCCTGGGAAGAACCTCCCGGACGGCTGGGCCGACGCGCCGCCCGATGTCAGGTATGGTTTGAGCTAGCTTCTCGTACATTGCAACTGATCTGTAAGTATACGTGACCTCTACCGGTCCCCGGTATCCCGCAAGTACTCTGGACCGGGCTGTATTGCTCGGCGTACTCGTAGGATGGTGGGGTTGGTAGAAGTCAACCCCACCAGACGCCCAAGGCCCGAACCTTGGGGCGTCGTACGCTTACGTAAGATACATGATGTAGCACATCTAATCTAAGGGCGCCTATGCGCCCTGGGTCTCCGAGAACCTCGGAGACATCGGTCTCCTTTACTGATGACGGTTACTCGTCCTCCGCGCACGACCTAGCAAGGTCTGGTTATGATAGAACCGACGGGTTCTCACACTCTCCCCCCCTAGACCCGTGGTGGGGTCTCAAAATTAATATACAATGAGGAAGGGCCACAACTCGGAGTGGTGGTAGCACAGTATAATACACGGATCCTCTGCGCTGCACTCGCAGAGGCCCTATAATACAAGGGTGCGGCGATGAGGCCGCTTTTATATGTACACTAGGCGCATCGCATTCGACACCCTAGGAGGACGAGCGTCGTCCATGCCCTGAGTACTGACTCGCGACGGGGGCACGCCGTCCGAGCGGTGCTTCGCGAAGTGTCCGCGGGGAAGGGTGGACGCTACTGCGTCCTGCACCAATATATACACCATGACGCTGGTGCGACGTCTGGGCGGATGAAGGTACCAGGCAGTACTGGTGGGTATGGACGCATTCGTCCGGGTATATGGGGCTTCAGGACTCTTCGTCCATCTGCTCCGTGTGGTTACCACCCTCCGGGGCTGCGGCATCCCCCTCAGGCTCTTGTCGCGCCGCGTTGTGGGCGATGTTGTCGACCGTCTTAGCCGACTGATTGACGTCCATCTGAGTGGGCGCGGCGGGGTTTGGCACCGGGGTTGGTGCGGTTGCGGGTGCGGGTGCGGGAGCGGGTGCGGGCGCGGGTGCGGGCGCGACGGCTGGCGCGACGATCGGTGCGGCGGGTAAGAAGGCGAGTGCGGGGTTAACCGCCAAGCCGCGCATGCCGAGCGAGGCTATGGGCGGTACGGGGCCCGCGCTCGTGGCCGAGACGATCCCGGGGAACGCCAGGACATTGGTGTTGGCGTCCAAACCCGCCTGCTGAGCACGAGCACGGTGCGCCGGACGTTGGAACAGGTCGGCTAAGGCGACCGTGAGCCCCCGGGACGCATACCAGTGTGCGACGTGGAAGACGGTCAGGTCGTCGTCGTCGAGCGACCCCGTGTAGTACGCATGAGAGTACGGGCCCTGGGGCTGCAACTGCCAGTGCTGCAGGATGTGCCGATACAGTCCCGGCACCGAGAACAGTGCGGTCGCCAGCGTGACCCAGCGTGCCCGCTCCGGTACTCCACGGTTCCGTGCGATCGGGTTCCGCGCGTACATGAAGAACTGCGCTGAGACCAGTGTCGGTCCGCCATCCTGCGCGCGCTCCATCCACACAGGGATGCGGTCCTGATAGGACCTCCACCATTCGCGGTGAGCTTCCGGTGGGTCGGTGGTGCGCGGCTGCTGTCGACGAGGTCCGTTCAGGTCTTGCTCCGGGCGAGTCGTCTTCATGACGTTCGGAGGTATGCCTGGACGGCGTCCAGTGGGAGGCGGCAGATGCAAGGTGTCCGCGAACTCCATGCCTGGAGGAGTGTACGCCGCCGGGTGCATGATGGTCGGCAGGTAGGGAGCCTTGTCCGGGTTCCGCCACGCGTCTGCGAGGGCACGGATACCCTGGACACCCTGCAACGCCGAATTCCTCTGAACTTGCTGAAGCAAGTGCTTGATTCGGGCGCGCGCCTGACCCATATCGGTCGCCGTGGCCCTCAGCAGCCGCTGAGCATCCTCCGGGGTGACGGGTACAAAGTCGTACCAATGGTCCGCCTCGCGAGGATTAGAGTCCTCAGGGACTGCGAGCATATGGTACGGCCATCCGGTGATCCTAGGACGCGGAAAGCGTCCATCACTCGAATAGTTGGGTGGCCTTGGTGGCGGGGCCAACGGGGTCCCATACACCGCGTTCTGTCGCACCTTACGTGCTGCCTTCTTCTTAATGTATTTTTCGTCGAAGAGATCCTCTTCGTCGTCCCCAGAGGACAATTCCTCGAAGTCTTGGAAGTCCACGGTGGGACCCGATCCAGTGGCCGCATGCCGACTCGACAACCCCGACGCTTCCGGTGCAGACGCCGGCGGCGTCGAATCGGTCGCCCGGTGCGGGGCCCTTGAAGGACCCGCCGTCCGGGACATTGGAGACGACCCCATCATAGACATGGGCTCATCCCGATCCCTCGACGGACCCAACTCGGTCGAACAAGGCACCATCGAGGACGGTCGGCGTGGACTATTGTCCTGCGCCGACCGTGACGATCTCACTGGATACCCCCGTTCCGGCGACTCAGGGAAGTCGGGGTGACCAGGCGGCACTGCGGGGACCCGCCTAGCTTGGTTGGGCCGAGTCTGGCTCGCACGAGCCCGGAGACGATTCTCGTCATTGAGCATCTCCCGGGCCTGGTTGCGTTCCGACCGATATCGGTCGCGGTCCTGACAAAGAGTCGTCGTTTCCGCCCGTGCGGCATTGAGCTCCTGCTCCAGCTCAGCGTTGATTCGAGCGCGTTCGCGGAGCGAGGTGGCTTCTGCCAATGCTGCTCGGAGCTGCCGCTCCAAGTCCTCTACTTGCTGCGTATGCTCGGCGCGGTTCTCTCCCTCCCTGGAGCGTGCATGCTCCTCGAAATAACCCCAAAACTGCGACTGCAGTTGGGTTTGGACCGCCGTCAACGCGTTCCTGAACGAGGAGTCGTTCATCGCCGCCTGGTAGTGTCGCACGAACTCCGTGCAACAGCTGCATCCGGCCGAGTGCGCCACAAGAAGGTGGTGATTGGGGACCGCTGCCCACGACATACCCGGAATGGGCATAAGCGGGGGCATTCCAGGGGGCAGGAACGGCGCTGCGTTTGACCGGTCGGGCCCTGGCATGCTCGACGATGCGGGCGCGTGAGCATATTGCACCGTTGGGTGCAGTGCGGCCGAGGATACTGTTGGCGGCGACTGGTGCTGGTAGGGGAGCGGTGCCCCGTACGGGGAGGCGTACGCGTGCGGGAACCCGCCTTGCGCCGGCGCCTGGAACTGGCAGAAGACTCTCGGATTTGGTATGTAACCGGGAGGCTGGTTATCAGATTTGTTATCGGAGCTCTGATGCCGTACTGACTATTCTCTTCCAGGTGAATTCCTTCTCCATGCGTTGGAAGTCGCAAACATTATGCGTGCAAACCAGCGCCGGACGTTCAACAAATACTCCGCGATGTTTGATCCTAACGTCGTTAACCAGTGGGAAGCCATGGTTCGAACGTGGGAAGAAGACACCAGCAGCCCAGACCCGTATGAGGAGCCCGCTGCATGTGAGTTACCGGCCGCCTCTGCAAGACGATCGCTGATCCCACAATTCACAGCCATCTCGTATGCGACCACAAAGAAGCAACTCAACGAAGAAGAGGCAATCGAGGCTCGTCAAGGGGTATTCCCGTCCCATGACGTTACCCCGGGCGTGTTCCTGCAACTCGGACTGGAAATCGAGGATCAACAGTGCGTACAGCCCAACAGTTCTGATTGGTGGCTTGCGAATACCTGCTGACTCGACCTGGTCGTATTTTAGACGAGCACTGACCGTGCGGGCGGCGTCTGGAACCAGCATTTCGGAGCTAGCCGGCCAGCAAGAAAAGCGCAACGTTCTGATGCGGCGAATAGACTCATGGCAGGCTATGCAAGACGTACACATGCCTGTGGCCACCCCCTTACGCGCGTCCCCTTCCGACCCGTCCTCCACGACACAACTGCCCACTGGCACGGTTCCTAAGGCCGAACACATCAAACTGTGGCTTCCATCTATGCTTCCCGCTCCCCTCCTTGCCATCGACTCTCTCAAGGGCCTCCGGCAGAAGGAGGCCCGCCTCCGGCACGCCCAGCTCTCTGATAGCCTTGACGACATCCGCCGCATGCGACGTGTATTGGCCGCCATCGCAGACTACAACAAAACGAACGTCGCCGGGTCAGGTCAGCGCGCGACCACTCGCATGCAGGAGCTGTACGCGCGTTTCCGCGCTAAGGAACGTCGCGCAGTCAACCGATACCGGGCTGCACGCGCTGCGATGCAGGTACTCCAACCTGACGGCGACTGGACATCTATCTACCGTCCGCTCCTCGACGACGACCTGCGCGGGCCTCGCAAGCAGGACGACGACCTCGACGGTGTGTTCGCGAGCGAAGGACGTTACCAAATCAGCTGGATTTGGTTGACTCCCAATGCGAACAAGAACCCCTCTGACGACGAAGCAACGCGCCCCGCGACTGCTGACAAGTTCTCCGCGAGCATGCGCACTGAATGGGCGCGTAGTCGAGCTCGCGCGCACCGTTGGGAGGAGGAGGAGCAACTGCTCCTGGAGGAGATGCGCCGCGTGATCGTGTTTTTCGCGTGGCGTGCATCCTGGTGGCGCGAGCAGGCGGGATGTCGGGAGGGCCTGAGCGAACGGTTAGGTCGAGGCTTGGCCATCTACGCGAGGCGACAGGCCACTTGCTTTGAGGGCCTCGCGACAAGGTGCGGAGCTCGGTGGTACTCCTATCTCAAAACACGCGGCGCTGTGCCCGAGTGGCTTCAGCGTTACGCGGCTGTTGCAGTGCCATATCATCCGCGGAGGTCGCTCGCAAAAATGCTTCGTGAATACGCTCTACACGACGCGGCACCGGGTGATGCAGATTCGTCGGCTTGCGACGACGACCACGACGATGACGGCTACACATCTGGGCTCGATTAGCACTATGTCATATTTACTAGTAGATGCTATGTGATTAACTATGCTTCTTGTTCTCAGCCGACCGCTTCCAGTCCTGTCAATAATAGAAGTCTGCACACACGACACAAGTATCTCCAAGGCTGATATGGGATTGCGTGCGTCGACGGAAATGAATGGTGCGCGGGGGTCTCGAACCAGGCACCGCTGTAGGCGCCTATGGAGTCGCCGCGGTGCAAAGCTAATCAAGCGAGCTGTCATTGCGCGCGCGGCATAAGCGCGGCCGTATTGGTGCCACGAACCGGCGTTCAGTAGCGCTTCCGAATTTGGTAATTAGGGCGGGTGTCGAGTAGGAATGCCCGATTTAGCAATCGGACAAGCGCCGGAGTGGCTGCGCGGTCAATCTGCCAGTGCCCGATATGGCAGGCCATGACATTGTACAATCTGTGCACCAGGCTCACTGACAGGCTACTGCAGGAGCTTCCACATTGATGTACAGTAATTAACAGGCTAGAGCAGGGGTTCCTGGGCTCAAATACAATAATAGACAGGCTAGAGCAGGGGCCTCTGTACTGAAATACAATAATTGACAGGCAAGGCTAGGGGCTCCTGGGCTCAAATACAATAATTAACAGGCTCTGGGGGTGATAATATAATAGTACACCAGGGGAATTGACAAAGATAATGGGTGGTCACAGAATACACAGACTTTGCACCAGCTACATGGGCTATTATAATATTATGGTGGCAACTACTGGTGGACGTTCAGACGTCCCCGCGGTCGTCCTGGGCTCTCCTGGAACTCCCGCCACGTTGCTACGCATTTGAGGAGTGGTCAGAGGGATCGCGGTACGCGGGGTAGCCCGGCGGTGTAAGTGGGCGGACATCGCGCCAGTTGCGCTTGCTGATGGCGCAGATTCTCTTAGGTAGTGCGCCGGAACGTCTCCATAGTGAGTGGGGTGCGCGCGGGGTAGCGTGGTGGGATAGCAGGCAGGTGGAGGGCGAGGAAAGCAGAGGAGAGGAGAGGAGGGAGGGGTACGCGCGTGTATGTGTGCGGCTAGACGCCGGGTCGCGTACGACGCAATAAGAAGCCGTTCGCGTTGGCGCAAGGATCGACCATAATTTAGCAATTGTTTTGTACCGTAGGACGAACAGCGGTATCAAATAATGGTACGCATACAATGTACTCCGAAAACATCGGAAACCGGGCTGTAATCAGGCACTATGTTTCAACGTTTAAGCTGCGGGGGCCCAAAAGTATTGTACATAGAATATTGTATTTATTCACTATCAAAGAGAGACTGGCTGAGTGGTTAACCGTGTAAGCTGGCATGTTTACGGCGTGGGTTCGAATCCTCGTCATGCTTTTTTTTCTGCCGGGCGGATGGCGATTGCGCCGCACGGATAATTGTTTCAATAATCGAGCGGATTATCTTGTTCTATACTCAACATGATCTCTACGAATCGAGCCGGGGCATCGGGGATAATCGAACGCGCATCAAAGGTACGTAGTTCGGTCATTAACGGAAGGCGGATGTAAACCAAGATTTACATTAAAAGATGGCACTTAATTATCGAACTAAAAACAGACTGCGAGGACATGATCATTGTTTCTGGAGCCCGATGCGAGGGATTCGGCGTCAGAGTCTTCGGCGTCATCCTCATCGCTGTCGTCCGTTGCGACACTATCTCCACCAGAGTCGTCCGAGTTGCTAGCATGGGCGTCACTAGTCGTATAATGGCTCTCTTGGACCTCTCTGTATGCAAGGAGCTCGTCTTCACCGAGCTGCAGAACATCGGTGGCCATCCTACCGGAATGTGCAGAATCAGTACAATACCCGACATACACCCCAAATGGGCACCGGTGCGTACTTTGTGCGTGTGGTGAATACGAGGTCTCCAAGCACTTGCGTCGAAGTGAACAGTGGGGCCCCCACGCCCTCCTCAATAGGCTCAAACTGTGGTGTCGAATCGAAGATGATACCCGCCGGCACCGAGGTGGGATACTTCTCCGACGACCAGAATCCGGTTGGAATATTGCAGTCGTGAGCGGAACCGTTGTTGCCGTCGAATTGCAACAGGAAGAACCAAAGCGGTGGGTATACCTGCTCAGTGGCATGCACGCTCATCGTGATGGTCGTCTCAGTGAAATATACTCGGTACCGGGCTAGACATCCATATCAGCGACCGAAACACACACAGGCAGAACGGACGCACCTATACCGATGTACCGGTATTGTCCTTGAAGGACAGATAGATCCGGTAGTGCACGCATCATCCTCGAGGCAGCATCGAATCCGTCCAGCACGCATACACGTTGCCAAATCAGAAGTGTTGTATTCACGGGAATGCAGGAAGATTGGTATCTGAGGGGTTGATTCAGATGAACTAGATCGAGGTACAAGCAGCTCGGATATTGCTCTCACCTCTTCCATCTTGTCTGGCCCCCGCCCGTGCCTAGCTCGAATTCGATGCACATCTCGTCAAGGTCCGATTCCGGGATATCGAGCCATTTAACCATGCTCAACCTCTGGTCAAAATCACGGCCTTCTGCCCTCGTGAGCTGACTGGCGAGACCGCTCGATTGGTGTACTTTGCGGCGACTCACCTTGCCTGGGACTGGGAAGTGCAAGTGGTACACCCCGCATTGTTACAGTGACCTCGAACCCGGGATCTTGTGCAGATAGACAGGTCCAATCTTCGTCAAAGCTCTTGTGTCCCAGCCACACTCCGAGTGGATACCGTGAATAGTCAGCAATATGCTCCCAAATACACCACCATGAGCGACCTGGGAGCAGGTAGGACATGTATGCTCCAGAGGAACTCAGGATGGATGATAACCAATGCTGCACCAGAGTGTTCACGTGTGCACATGCAATGGCACGAAGAACTGACACGGTAGTCAGCAATCACACTTCCAGGGAATCGTTTGCATGCCGTACGTTCTATCCTGCACATCCTATCTTCTTGCGCAGCCGGGACATCTATTATCTGTGTGAAAGTATATTGAGAGTGGGCGCATGATGAGGGAAATGATTCTTACCCCAGGATTGTCTGTCTTCTCAAGTGCGAGGGGATCCCGAACCCATTTGATACGGCCTCCACGGCGGTGATCAACTACAACCTCGTCTGATCTGATGGTATGGATATCTTTCCTTGTATCCTGCATGGTCATGACATATGGGCGGTAAGTCAGTAGACCTGGTGGTTCTGTAGCAGGTTCATCATACCAAATATGAACGCATGGGCAACAGTCGACGCAGATCCACCTGAGTTTCAACATGGTTGATGGCCATCTGCCTCCGATACATTCAGAACTCGACCACATCCTCTGGATCACTGGTTGAGTTGAGGGATACATACACAAATCGCTGCCTCCTTTATAGATCTCGTCAGCTTCGTAGCAGTATCAGGGACATCTAGGCTACGTGCCATTTGCAGGTACATTCGTAACTTCCTGGTTCCACGCAAGGAGCTTAGATGTCCCGTAAAGGGAATGTAGTCTATCGAAGAACAGTTCAGCCGCGTCGGAGACAGGGATTGAATATTGGCCATTGTGAGTGATAGGGATATGTCGCCGTACCTTCCGTCACAATGTACGCAGCCTGGCCTAGACCTCCCGGACGGGAGTATCCCATGACACTCAGGATATTAGAGTGGCTGCATATATCATTAATGAGGCACGACCCCGGATAGAGCAATATTGACGTACAAGATTCGCCGGGCGAATTTGAGGGCCTCTATGAACAGCAGATCGTCTTGATCAGGATACACGTGCACCACCACCTTCGTTCCGGTCAGGTCACCCGCGGCCTTCACGACGCCACGGTGGCGGGATACACGTCCAGTCCGTGGCCAAGAATTCGCCTGAACGAGCGTATTTTCGTCTCTGCGCTGCGTAATGGTGGTGTCCCATGGCTTGTGCGAGTCGACGATGGGTTCCAGTAAGGCGATGTTTTCGCGGGCAAAGAGGCGCAACTGACACCGCCGAGTATCAGCATGACATCGAGTAGAGATATGGACCTGCGTCTTTACATCTCCGTCGAACGTCACATTCCCCCCCACACGATGCGCAAGGTCTGAGATGTCGGTGCGGATGACCCTGGTCTCTCCTAGTACAGCGTCTCCGACACGTGCTGAGTCGTCGATGTGCTGCATTAGACGGAGATTACCGCTCGTCAGCGTGTTCATGCTGTCGTCAATGGTGAGCGCAGCCCGCATCTAGCGACAATCGTGACATCAGTGGTCTTGAGCGCGAAGCGAACAGCTCGGACTATACCATGAATATACCGAAGGAGTCGTTGAGCCTCGTGGTCAGCACCTCGACCTGGTCCGCGATCTCGTCACGGCTTAACACAAAGCGAATGCGATCTCGCATTCTCGGGCGCAGGCGGCGGTCCATCAAGCTCTCGATGTCTTGTAGGTTCCTTGTGTTAGGTTGTGCGCGATAAGAATGACATAGAGATTGCATATGGGACGACTCACCGCAGGAACATCGTGACATACTCCTTGAGCCCCGTGTCGCTGCTCCCATTTTTGAGCTGCTGGTATACTGCAAGTACGAAGTCCGCAGCACGCTTGGCGAGAGCGCGGCAGTCGTCCCGAGTGTCTTTGATATCCTAAGTGAAGCGCAGATTACCACAGATGCATACGAGTGTGGACGGAGTGTACGGACCTTTGCTTTCTTCGCGATACTGAGTGCGCAGCTAACGGCGGTACTGAGCCCCGGGATGGGAATTTTGTCCGCTGCGAGGTTCGCGATTTCGAGCGCCTTAATCGACGTCTCAAGGAGCTCCATAACGGACGGAGGTCAGAGGTACTCAGAGTGCGAGATAGAGGGGGTGTTAGCACGATGGCGGCGAGTCTACAGATGGGGGAGTGGGTATAAAAGGGCACCAGCGGCTTGGGGCCGGTGCGCAGAGGTGTATTAGGGTTTAGAAGACATCACCTCACGTTCCCCGAGGCTGTACGAGAACCCACGTTGTGGCAGGGTTCTTCCAGGAATGACCTGGGGGCGCTGGAGCGTCGCTATTTGCATCCTGGTACTTCTCTGTTAGCTAACGCGGACCGCCGCTCGCACTGAAGGCGGTGCTTGGCAATGAAAGGCGGCAGTATCTTAGGCATGTGGGCATGGGTCTATCAACCGCCGCTGACCGGTCTCCCGAGTAATACTAGCAGAGCTACTAGCTGTCGCTGTGTGAGCCGCCAGCTAACCACACCAAGGTTATGCTCCTAGTCTTTCGTAGAGTCGACGGCCTCGTCGTGGCGCCTCCCCGCACACCGCCATGTGCACGTTGAGCGTGACAATGTCAGCTCCTCCGCTCGTCCTGGGCGCCATA